ATCTGAATTTTACCGATAAAGAAACTGAGGCACAGAGAAGTTAAGGAATTGCTTAAGGTCACACAGCTCCTGAGTGGCAGAGTCAGGCCATGAAACTAGGCAGTCTGCCTCCAAGCCTTTTAGCTGTAGAACATTCTTTGTTCACAGAAAGTCTCATGGAAAAATTCAGTGTGTGACAGAACAAAGCAGAGCTGCTTTGGTTCAAGTCCAGACGGCAAAGCCCTGTCTGGGCAGCGCCTCCCCTTCCCTGGGGAGCCCTGTTTGAAAAGGCCTGATCTAGGAAATAATACCTCTTGGCTTGATGCCACTTGTAAGCTGTCTTCGATCCACTCTAGCATAAAACAAATAAAATTCTTTTCTCACTTTAATTAACTGATTGTGTTTTATTTTGAAAATTTTATCTGCTTAAACTACTTCTGGCAGAAATAAATGTTAAGATAGATTTTCCCCCGGACGGTAACGCCATATGGCAATTTGGACTTTCCTGGCTTAAGTTCCCCTTTGGTTTCTTTATACAAATGAAGGACTGTGATCGTGAAAGTTTCCTGAACCAAAAGAGAAATGGGATTTGATTTCCTATAAATAGAGTTGCATATAAACTTTGCAACCAGATAGGCATGATCTACCCTCTCTGTTATGGACTGCTTATTTTCTGTGGTTATTCATAATATAGAATAATCGGAGCAAGAATTTTAAGAGTTACTGTCCATTGAGTGCCTTCTGCAACCAGGGATTTAAAAAACTCTTCATTTTTTACAACTCTAGGTGTTATCACCCCTATTTTACAGATATGTAAGTCGGGGCTCAGGTTTTATGTAACTTGTTTAAGTTGGCCCAACCAGTGAGGGGAGGAGGGAGGATGTTTTGAGAAACATCATTGGTTAAGGAGCAGAATTTTTTTTTTAATTGAAGTATAGTTAATTTACAATGTTGTGTTAGTTTCAAGTGTACAGAAAAGTGATTCAGTTATACATATAGATATAGATATTCTTTTTCAGATTCTTTTCTGAAAAGAAAAGGTTATTGCAAAATGTTGAGTGTAGTTCCCCCCTGGGCTATACAGTAGGTCCTTGTTGTTGATCTATTTTATATACAGTAGTGTGTATATGTTAATCCCAAACTCCTAATTTATCTCCCCCTACTCTTACCACTATCCCCTAACCATAAGTTTATTTTCTATGTCTGTGAGTCTATTTCTGTTCCATAAATAGGTTCATTTGTGGAGCAGAATTTTTTGATATTAAGAATAAAAGTCACGTAAGAGAATATATTTTAGGATGTATAATGTGAGGCCTGATGCAATTTTCAAATTATGAAAGACTGAGAATGCAGTGGGATCCATTCTAAAGAGTGATTAACTCCTGTGATGAAATGCCCCTTATCATTCGGTAATGTACACAATTATATAACACACTAAAAAGAAAAGAGAAGGTAAATCAAACAAATGTGACTATAGATCAAGGGCGATTGAATTGAAGAACAAGAAAACAACTCGGACCAAGTCAATTGCTTTGCTTGCCTCTATTTTCCCCCTGCTTTTGCTCCCACCTGCTGCCATACTCTACCCCAGGGGAGGGCAGACTTTTTCTGTAAAGGACCTGTTAGATAGAAAATATTTTAGACATTGTTTGCCATGTATTTTCTGTGTTGAATCTACTCAACTGAGCTGTTATAGTGCAAAAGCAGCATAAACAATACGTAAGTGCACGGCCATGGTTATTTTAGAGTAAAACTTCATCTGTGAACATTAAATTTGAACTTCATATAATTTTCATGTGTCCCGAAATGTTATTCTTCTTTTGATTTTTTTTTTTTTTTTGAACCATTAAAAGATGTAAGAACCATTCATAAGCTGTCCTAACAAGCTGGAAGCCAGACTGGGCTCCCCGCCGTGGTTTGATGACCACCACTCCAGCCTTTCCACCCCTCTCTCATTTCCAAACACATCGTTTCTTGTCTCTGTGGGCATTTCTTTTACTTCCAGCATTTAAATGTTGTTTTGGACTAAGAACTTAATCCCGGAAGAGACTTCAGAGGACCAAGTAACAGAAGTAGTTCCGCTCACATTCTGCAAAAAACAGACATGAGAGCTGCTACGGCCAAATCAAGTTCCCCTGAAACAAATAGAAGCCACGGTGGCTGTCTAAGAGGATTTAACATAAAATGGAAAATTCTTGGCATACTTTGTCAATTTCATTGAAGATTAAAGGATAAATGCAGGACTTTGAGTCATCCCCAGAAGCTGTTTAGTTTTAAAGTGATGCTAGCAAATATGAAAATTCTTTGTGTGTTTTAACAGCATAGGTCATTGCTAAATTTTAGTTTTTTTCCCACCAGGGAATCTGACCTTAATGTGATAGAAACAGTCTTTATCTTGGTGTCCAAAAGACGAAGGTTTGAGTTTCAGCTCTGTTAGTTTTACTGTGATCTTGGGTAAATGAATAGCACCTACTAGATTCTTGGCTTCCTTATCAGTAAAATGAGATTAATAATCCTACCTTACAGGACTTTTATTTTCTCTTATTTTTTTAGTCCTTTACTATTTATTATGAAAATTTCAAAGAGAAACAAAATAGTAGAGGACTGTAGGGATCCCATGTGCCCTCACCCAGCTTCTACAATTCCGTGCATTTTATCAAACTTCTTTCATTTTTACCTCACCCCATTTTTTCCTCTCTTTAAATACTAGAGTAAAATACTCTCTTTAAAATTTCAAATGTAATATTATCTCACCTGCAAATATTTCAGTATGTATAACTAACAGAGAAGATCTTTCTAAGGAATATCAATTCCATTATCACACCTAAAATTACAATAATTACAAATAATGCTTTGCAAAACTGCAATAATTCTTTAACATCATCTGTTATCCAGTCAGTGGTAAAATTCCCCTACTTGTTTCAAAAATGTCTTTATATAGCTGGTTTATTTGAATCAGGAGCCAAAGAAAATTCATATATTGTATGTGGTCATATGTTTCTTAAGTCTCATAATTTCTGGCAACTTCTCTTCTCCCCATCTTTCTTCATATAATTAATTTGTGGAAACAATAATTATTTGCCCTGTAAAATTTTACATAATCTGGATTTGGCTGTTTGCAACCTTCACCTTTGTAGAGTCATTGAACCGTTTCCTCTTTCTCAGATGTTTACCGTCAGTGGATAGAGGGACTGCATACTTCATAGGTGATGCTTTCTACTTGTGCTTGTACCACATCTAGAGAACATAGTGTCTGGTTGTCTCTAGTTTTCTGTTAAGGTTGATTAGTGGGGTCCCTCGAGTTGATGCATTGTTCATCAACCTCTCACCTAATGTTTTTAGAGCTGGTTGATGACTGTGGCTTAGATCCATTACTTCACAAGGGGTTGCAAAATGTAGGTTTTCTAATTCTATCAGTCCTTTTGGGTTTATTAGCAGAAATTCTGTAGCAAAATTTTCCTAATCAACTGTTTGGTTACCAAGAAATACATGGTAAATTCATATCATAAAGGCAAGACCAATGCTTGTTGGTATCCCCCTCACCCCTTTTTCTGGGCTAATTTTTAGTATAATCGTGGCCCGTTTCCATTGAGTTTGAGGATTGGTGGTGGTGGTGGTGGTTTTTCTCTTGTCAACATAATTTCAGGAATTAAAAAAGTTTTGATATGTTTTAATCCATCACAGTCATTCCTCTTCAGGTTGGTTTTTGTGTCTTATTCAAGTAGTATTTGGTTACTTTTTTGCTTTCTGGTATGACAAGATATCTTAGGCTCACCTTGTATACTTCTTGCTCCAGGTCTAAATCACTCAAGAAGCCCTGGTTGCATTTTAGTAGAAAATAGTGTACTGAGACCATAGTCTGGGCACTGGGAGTGTTAATTGCTTCTGTTTCTAAATTTTCAGTGGATAGACTTGGAATGTACATTTTTAAAGGAAAATAAATCATTATTTTCTACTCATGGCTCCAGTTTGGATTGTAAGGTTTTTACGTAACATTTTTGGTTCTGATTTGGATTTCTTCTTCTCTTATGCTAAAAATCTTGGTTCTTAAGACATTAAGACAATGACTTCTTGACTTCATTCTACATCATGCATTTAAGTGAGTGATTCATGTGAATGTGTGCACACACATATAATAGTTTCAAAATAGCAATACCAATATTTCCACTAAAAGTATTATTAGTGAATACGGTTTAAGATTGTTTTGGGGATTCTTTTTGTTCTTAGGACATATCACATCTGGGAAAAATAGTCCCTGGTGCATGTTTTAAAGTCACTTCAAGTGATTCATGAGCATATGCCACCAAGTTTGTATGCAGATATATTCATTTGTTTTATTAGTTTTTTATTTTTGAGGATTTTATTTTTTCTTTTTAACTTAGTTTTATTTTATAATTAGGTAAAATAATTATGTTTTTCAGTGTCAAAACTGTAAATTACAGATTTTCCCCTTCTATCCTACTCTCTCTTCTTAGAGAAATTATATGTATCCTTTTCTGCACCATGCTTTTTCACTGAATAAATATATCCTAGAGAAAACTCTATAGAAGTAGGCAGTTCATTCAGTCAGTCCCTTTTCTGTGGGCATTTGGGCTTTTCCAAATCTTTTACTATTACAAATAGCTCTTGAGTAAATGGCCTTTACAGGCTACTGAGAGTTAAATAAAATGCAGTACATTAGAGGTCTCTGTTAAGTATAAAGTGATATACATACATGTATGTAAGTTTTATATATATATATGATTTTGTTATATTATTAGCCCCACAGACATTTATTAAGCACTTACAGTGTGCTAGAATATGAATATGAATAAGGTATAGTCTCTACTCTTGAGGTTTTATAGTCTAATTGATACTGAATGAAAAGAAAATTTCCCCATTTTTCATTCTCAGTTTAATTTTTAAGTTTCTAATCAATGACTGTTTCAACTGGTGTTGTTTTAATATTAAATTAATTCCTGGAGTTTGGATATATACAGATTTCCATAATTTATAATATTTTCTACTATATTTGATTACAGTGCTAATACAGAACTCCTTTCAGTTTACAAACCACATAATTATAACATCAAGGAGGTTAGTTTTGTCCAACTGATTTGGGCTGGGCTTCACAATGACAGCAGTAACAGTGACCACGACAGTTCCCCTGAAGGGGAAGATAGAAGATAATTCTGCCTCGTATGAGTCCACATCAGCTCACATTATTGAAGAAACCGAATATGTGAAAAAGGTATGTGGGCGCTGGAAATCATGTTACCATGGTATGATTTTTTACAATAAAGTCTGATATGAATTAGTGGGCTTTGTCTCTCCCTCCCTAGAACATGTGAGGAAGAACAAACCTAGCTTGGCAAAGGACAACCTTGATAGCTGAAATTTAAACACATGCATTGTCATTTCTCTTGAGGGTATGAACCTCTGTTCCTACACTTGGACTAAAACTGAATAAAGGGCCAGGAGGGTTCAGAACACCTATCAGCACTTAATTTGTCCCACACTATTCACCACTGCATCCTACTGTTTTACATCATTTCTCAGTTCTTTCATAAGTATTGATACTTTGTTGCCAAGTAGATATTTATGATGCCTGCTGAGTTTCTGTCTCTCCTTACCTTGTTCCTTCTCAAGCGGTTCAGAGCGACTATCGCCAATGACTTGTACATGTTGGCATGTTACTTCATTAAAAATGTGAAATCTTATGAGAATCCAATGATAATGTCTGACAAAGGTATATATTCTCATGAACTACTTTTTAGAACAGATGGAAAAATTTGGACATAGCTAGTTTGTGACTTAGAGCGATTAATTTATCTTTGAGTGTCTTGCAATTCCATAGGTCACCAAGACACGGGGCTTGTATTTCATGCATAAATTTGTATGATCTCCTCTGAGTAATTATTCTCTAGTAATTATTAAATAGTAGTTATTCTCTAGTAATTACTAGAGAGTAATTATTTTGCAGTAATTATTGGATAGTAATTATTTTGTAGTGATTACCAAATAGTAATTGTTTTATAGTAATTACCAAATAGCAAATTAGTACTAAATTACTATATAGAAAAAAACAGAACTAACTAGTATTAAATACTAATTACTAAATTGTAATTATTTTGTGGTATAATATTCATTTGGGTTATATTTTAGGTTTGCCTAAGAAACAGTTGTAAAGACCAAATGCTCATTTTCTGCAATCTAAACAATATTAGCCTAAATGCAATTTAGGTTGATGACAGTTATTTAAATCTGAGATTGACATATATGTAATACTTCCTAGATAAATTTGGTACCCTGTAACTCGTATAGAAAAAAAAAAGTATTTGGTGTTAAATGCCTTTGAAAAAAATATTTTTCTTTTCTTTTAGATTCGAACTACTCTGGAAAAGATCCGAAATCAAATATTTAAAGATGAAGTAAGACATAATAGTACAAATCACAAACAAGATGCAAAGGTAATGAATTCATCAAAATGTACCACTTTTATTCCTTCAGTAAATGAACGTAAAGCCATATAGACTTCCTTTAAATAACTTTTTGATATTATTAAATTATTCTTTGAATGATGAGTATTAAATATTTTGTTGGTATCTAAAGATGTTAATGGGCATATGTATATTTAACTACAGATGTCATTAGTAGGATCAGATTGGAATGGCCAGGTCTTACTTGAATATTTTAAACTTGGCTTACTTATCTAAATTGTATGGGAAGATATTGGCTCAGCCGGGGTACATATAGGTCCACCTGGGCCACACCAATGGACACCCAGTTGAAGCCATTACACTGCGTGATCAGTCAATAAGCTTAAATGCACCCCTTCCCCTGTGACCAGCCTTTTATTCTTAAGGTCAAACAATGTGCACTTAGCCTTGTCTGGATTATGCCAGCTTAGACCTCACCTGAGCCACATGCACCTCATCAATGTCAGCGTTATCCACTCTGCAGGATGGCCACAGAGAACACTAGAACATAGCGTAAGATGTATAAACAGAGTCTTCTTTATCATCCTCAGCTCCTAAACTAACACAACTCACTCCAATTATTTTCTTAAGTGCTCTGAAACTGAAAAAAAGATTAATGTTTGTGAATGATAGGAAAGATCAAACATTCAGTTCTGACTATGTTGAGTTGCCTATCAGAGTGGAGGTTTCTGATGGAAGTTGGATTATCTGATTCTAGAGTTGAGGGTAGAAGTCTGGTATAGAAGGTCCAGGCTATGGGGTAGAGATTTTGGGAGTAAGGATGGTATTTAAAGTTCTGAAACTGGAGGAGATCACCGAACGTATCAGTGTGGATAGAAAGGAGAGAAAATCTAAGCATTTAGTCCTGAGATTTATGATATTTAGATGTTGGGAAGAAGAAGAATCCATCACAGGAGGCTGAGAAGTGAGGCTAGTAATTAGGGGGATAAACAGGAGAGAATGGAGCTACTGAAGACAAGGAAAAAAATGGGTTTTAGGAAGTGAGGAGGGACCGCTGTGTCAAATGGCGTCCGTGGGTTAAGTAACTTGAGGACTAGTTATTGACCATTGGCCATAACAATGGGGACACCTTAATAGGAATAGCTTCCTGGGAATGCAGATGAATTGTGTTGCCAGTATGTCTGCCTCGGCCATCTCAAACCACAGAAGGTCAGCAGACAAGTTAGATTAAAAAACAACAACAACTGGCTTTGTGGATATCATTTATCTCCTTAAAAGGTCTTAATAGTATATTTTAAACTGTAGGGAATATAAAAGGCATGAAAGATGTACTTCTACCTTCCTTTTAATATAAGAATCTATTCAAATTTGAGCAAATATAGAGGCCAGCTGGGTTTCATCTGGAACTTCCCATTGATATTTGAGATTCAAAAGATTTATTTGTGTTGATCTGAATATTCCTTGACATATGTAATACTGAGGGATAATTATTGTTATCAAAGTTAGTAGAGAAAAGGAAAAGTCAGGTGAATGATTTTCTTGTTTGTTCTTTTCAGCACTGTCGACACGTTCAAAATGGCTTTGACTCTGAAGTGGATCCCTCTTGTTGCAGTTTGGATCTGCTCCTGGAAAGGATAAAAGGAAAAGACCTACAGCTCTTAGAAATGAACAAAGAGAATGAAGTGTTGAAAATCAAGGTATGAGCAATAGGAGAAATTTCTAATTTTGTACTTTGTGCCAGTAGGATAGATTTGTGGATCTGTGAAATTAGATAGACATCCACACACATCCATAAATCCACACGTGTGCTCACATACTTAGAGAAGCACTTTTACAGTTGATCAATTAAATCTCACTCTTTTATTTTGAAGGCGATTTTTATTATTAAAATAATTTTACAAAAGTTCAATGGGCATAGTTTCAGTTGTACAAGATGAATAAGTTCTAGAGAGTCCCTGTACAGTATTGGGCCTATATTTAATACTGTACTGTACACTTAAAAATCTGTTAATGGGGCAGGTCTCATGTTAAGTGTTTTTACTACAGTAAAATTTAAAAGTCTTTCTATATGTAATAATTAGGTATTAAAAATTACATATTAATTAGAGCACTCAGTCAAATGTCTCATTGTTTTATTTAGCTAATCTATTGTTGGGTGCCTTATATTTTCCTTTTTTGGCTTATTTTATATACAGTCCTACAGTGATTTAGTAGGTAGATCTTTGCAGCCATCCTTGATTATTTATTTAGGTTAAATCTTTGAAAGATTCGTGACACTTTGTCGATATTGCCCCTAATACTTCAATCTTGTCCTCCTTCTATTTCAGGAAATATGTCTTTTAGTACTGTTGTGGCCAATGATACGAAAACGCTTGCAAATACGTGTATAAGCTGATGCGGCACTGGGGAACACTTTGCAGGGGTGTGGTCTATATATGCAGGGCACTGATATTCATAGAGCTCGCTTTGGCCTGGCCAGCGCAAATCACCTGCATGACAGCCCCAATAAATAGGGTGTTCTCATTTTATGTTTTCTTCTTACCAGATAACAGCATCTTTCCTCTTGCCCATTGTCTATGAAGGTGCAAATGGTACAGTTACAGCCTCTGTGTTTCTGGTTGCCCATCAAACAGTTCTGTCTTTAACCCTTTTTATTGTAAAAGTCAAAACATGCACAGTGACCTTTTGTTTCTAGCTCGAAGCCTCCAGAGAAGCAGGAGCAGTGGCTCTGAGAAATGTGGCCCAGAGATTATTTGAAAACTATCAAACACAGTCTAAAGAAGTTAGAAAGAAGCATGAGGACAGTAGACACTTACTCCAGGTACCGAGCTAGCAGCTTGCATACTGGCGGACTAACCTCCAAGCTGTTCAAGTCTCTCTTCTGGGGAGGAGTTAGATGTGAAACAAGCAATGGCCACGTGACTTGGCAAGACCTTGGAAGGGCAGGCTGCCCGTCTTCTGCCCTGATCTCCCCCCCACCCCTGTTTAGCCTGGTACCCGGATATTATGCCCCCCTTGCCCAGAGCCCTGCCACCCAGCCTAGAAATCAGGGCTGGCCTCATGACACTGGCCAGTGGCTTCTCTTCTGGTTCTGCCTTTGACTAACTAGGTGACCCAGTTTGAATCACTCTGTCTCTCTGACTTGACTCTAAAATGAAAAAGTTGGGCTACATAAATCGCTTCAAAATTTTTTTGGTCCTGGAATACATTCTTCAGAGTAAACGAACAAAAACATGTATGTGTATGTACGTATATATATATATCATATAAAATTATGTATTTTATATTTAATATATAAATTAAAATTTAAAATCATACAAATATATATGTGTGTGTATATGGGTGTCTCTATATCATAGACACACACCTACACTTTGTTTGTTTTTGAATCTGAAATATGTGTCCTAGGGCCAGTAAAACTTTATCTGGAGAATGTATTCTAGGACTGGAAGAGGGAAACGTGTGTATGGGTGTGTTTGCCAAAACTCAAAACAGGGAAGCTCATTCAGGCACGGGTAGGGCACCTGGGTCTCTGCCAGCTCAGGCCCTAGGAGGGTCCCCAGGGAAGCACAGTAGGAATCCACTGCATAGGTGACACGCCCTCAAGCTTCAGGTTGGGGTGATGACGGTCACAAACTCCTAGGCACGCAGGGTGCAGGTAAAGTACCTATGTGAAAGAGTGAGCAGGTGTGTGTGGACGGGAGTGCCCATGTCCCAGCAAAGGGAGTGTCTGGGCAGGAATGCCCACCTGGTATATTCAAGGGAAGTCAGACACTTTTTTTTTCTAACCGTAAAATCTTGAGTTCTATTAAACACACAAGCAGATGTGGGTGTGCATGTCAGTTACAATCAGTTGGAACACTCCCAAGTGTGGCCTATGGGCTGCCCGCTGAAGACTTCTCTCCTGTGTCGTTTAGTATAACTCCTGCTATACGCCTAGGAGATAACCCCCTGACACAGTGGGGATAATTATTCTGCTTTTATGACACTTTCTGGTTAAAAAGAAAACACTTTTTACTTGAACGTATAAGATTTTATTTTTGTTCTAGATAAGTTTTGTTGAGAAAAAGTCAAAAGTTTTGCTTTTCTTAAATTTTTGTCTCTCTTTCTTATACCAGTTCACAGAGTATGCTTTATGGTAGCAAATGTCAACATTCTAGAAATAATATTTATATGTTATTAATTCTCCATTGATTTAGTGTTGCTGTAGTCCATCAGGTTTATTTTGAAGAAAGACTGAATTCAAGGAAGTAATTCTAAACAAGTGTGAATTATTAAATTTTTTTGGCGACTCAGAAAATTTTAGAGGGAGATAATAGCTGTATAGGTTTAATGAAAACAATAGTCTGATAACTGTTTTTCTGACAAAAGGTTAACACACTTGAAAAAGAACAGAAATTGAAGGAACATGTTGAAAATCTGAATCAAATTGCTGAAAAGCTTGAAGAAAGACATAATCAAATCACAGAACTGGAGAATCTTGTACAGAGAATGGAACAGGTAGGCCTCTGGAGAATTAAAGGGATTTCTTCCTGACAGGGTTAGGGTGAGAATTAAAGAAGATAATATGAAAATAAATAACATTAAGTGAAAGTGTTCTTTGCAACTCCTAAGATCTTAGGATGTACTCAATAATGTTCATTTCTTCCCTTACACATTTAATATGATGTGTATTGCAGTTACTGATTTACCTCTTTACAAATACTGCACTCGAATCATTATCTGTCACTTTTTTTTTCTCGTAAATGTATGGCTTAGAAAGGGGAAACATGTGAGGCTATGAATAGAAATGATGGAAAAAATCACAAAGTCTACCTACTGCTAGTAATAATATAGCGAATCCCTGTAATTGCAGCATTTTTATGTATTGGAGTCAGTGAAGTGTTTATTTTTGGCCACCCAAGTCCCCTTTAGATTTATAAAAACCTATGACTGCCCTAGGACAGGTATAGTTCACAATTAAGAAAAGACTTTCTTGGGACTTCCCTGGCAGTCCAGTGGTTAAGACTCCACGTTCCCAGTGCAGCGGGCACGGCGCACAGCTTGGCCAAATTTAGGGAAGAGTAATAATAGAACAAAAGTTATTAAAAGTTTCATGCAGTGTTCCTTTAAGTAGCTGCCCCTCCAAATACACACAAAAGGTTAGCACATAAATTTCGTTTTGCATGCCTTAGAATTTAGATAAACCAAGCAATATTTTTTAATAGTAAAACAAACCAGTAGAAAACTGGCATCTTTGAAACTGAGTTGGAGTAGATAAGAATACAGACTTTAACTTTAGTAAATATTGCCCAGTACATTTTTATATTTATTACATGAATTCCCTGATTTTCCTCCACTCTGCTCAGCCTTAGTTTTTTTTATGAGTCTCCTTGAATTGAGGCTATTTCAGAAATATCACTTCAAAACCATCACATTTCAACATTCAGGACATTTGCCTGAGAAACCTTGAGCAATTTTTTACATATTTCCCAAGGATTTAATTTATAACACTGTGAGTTTGGCTGAATTTGTGATCTTAATGAAGGTCCTATGAAGAAATCATGAAAATTAAATAAGCCCAAGCTTAACTGAATCTAATAATAATAATATACAGCTACATCTGTGTTGTACGGTGGGTGATGCTGAGTGTTTTACTTTAGCCAAAATCACAGGGCTAGAATGTCCTCAAGTAGCTGGTTTGCCCTCGTGTAACAGTTTATAATTATGATGTTTTGGACAAACTGTAACATTTGGATGAATACTTTGCAATGTTAGAATATTTATCCTGTAATAAATAGTTTAGCAAACTAAGACAGCACAAGGAACGTTTGCATTTCGGAAAGGAAGACAATTCTGGAATGCAAATAGGGTTGTTTAATCAAACTACTTGATTAACCAGCTTGACATTTAAATGTAGATTTGCGATCACCTCAAACCCAGTAACACTGGGTCATGTTTACTGGTCAGCTGTCAGTCCCTGAAAGTTAACAAAAAAAATAGTGCAATGTAATTTCTATCTTCTAGAAACCCCAGGAAATCTGTACTGGATGTGAATTCATCTCAGAATTCCGGAGTATAGTCACTGGACTATTTATTCAACAAATATTTGAGCTCCTACCGCCTACCAGGCAGAGCTCCAAGCTAGATATCTATTTGTGAATGAACCAGATACAGTCTCTTTGTGGAGACTGCAATGTAATATATCTGGGTTGTGTGAGACTCAAGGAACTGCCCAGATCTCCTTTCATTCATTCTCCCAGGGGTCCTTAGGGAAGCTGACATCCAACTGAAGGTAGGGGTGGACCCCAGAATGAGGTTAAGTGGCTTAGAGACTGGCAGAGATTATTGAGAAGTGATGGCCTAGCATTTGTCTTGATATTGACCCATAATGGAGAGCTGTCTCTAGGAGCTCTGTGACATAGTAAGTGGACAGAATGCCCATCGTTCAGCAAGGCCATGCAGGAACCTTCCAGAACATTCTAGTTCAGTGACTTCTTAGAGTGGAGTCTTTTGGAATATCTGGGAGGTGGAGGTAGTAGGGATGCAGTGGAAGGAAAATGTGCAGGAGTTTTATCTTTATTTTTTAAACATATTTAGTTTAATGTAAAATGATCACGCAAATAAATAAAACTATAAGAAGCAAAGCTTGGTAACATCTTGGTCTAAGGAGATACTGAGGATAAAGGCTGTGATGAAGGGTTTCTCAGGAGGGAAGTGTGTATCGGAATGAGAGGAGGGGGTACTGAGACCCTTTGTATTAATAAGAAAAGGCCATGAGTTCAAAAAGGAAATGAAAATTAAAAATAAACATCCACAACAAAGATTGATAAATACTGCCCTGGTTGTGGGCACCCCCTGGAGAAGGATTCATTTTCTACTCACTTGCACGAGCCACTGCTCCAGTAAATAGCCATTAGTGGTATGAGGTCTGGTAATGAACGCATTACTTAAAACCTTCACCATCTGTCCCACTTTAATCAGGAATGCAGTGAGAATGAATTCCATAAACACAGTGATAAGCCGGCAAAACCGCCCAGTAAGAGCATTTTAATACGGCATATGTCCCTTTGGCTGGCAGCGCACTTCTGTTGCATCATATTTGCTTTCCAGTGTCATTGATTTAGCTCTATTAGCATTTTAGAGCTCAAAGGCTCTTTTGAGACCACCTAATTCCTCCTCATCATTTTATAAACGAGGACAGTGCGAATGAGGGACTATTCCACCGTCCTCCACTTAGCAGTTCACAATCCTTTCCATTATGCCCACATCTTCTCTGATGTGGGATAAAAGGGATGCCATTGGTTCCTAAATCATTTAGATGTTAACATATGGCAGTGATTTAAGTTGGTGTCCACTCCACCTTGATCAATAAGGTGCGGGAGCTCTTACGCTCTTCAGAGGTGTGGTTTTGGCAAGAGTGGATTGCCCACTGGGTGGTGCTGTGAACGCCTTTCCCTTCCCAGAAGACACTGTCCCTGAGAAGTGCTAGCTGATGTAGTGTGATTTTCCGTGTTGTCAGAGAGGCAGCATTAAGAGTCCAAGCTACAAGGACCTACTGTATAGCACAGGGAACTCTACTCCATATTCTGCAATAACCTATATAGGAAAGAACATGAAAAAGAACGGATATACATGTATGTATAAATGAACCACTTTGCTGTACACCTGAAACTAACACAACATTGTAAATCAACTATACTCCAATATAAAATAAAAATTAAATTAAAAAAAGAGTCCAAGCTAAATACTGGAGGCTTGACCAAGGCAGAACATTTATTTGTCCAGCTGTCTGGTCTCCTTGAACCCTGGTGATAAAGATTCATGAATTGAGAGTAAGTCCATTAGAAAGAATGTTTGTTAAACACCATTTTTCCTCCGATAAATTCAAAATATATTATCAGTGATGTGTTTCTTTGATGACCCAAGTGTCATAATAAGCTTGCAAAGAGTATCTTGATCCCTCAGATCAACTAAGGCTACACCAGAACAGTATCTAATATATGTGACAAGAATGCTACAGGAAATTTTTGAAAAAGTATAAATTTTAAAAATAACAGAGCACATAAGATATGAAGTATTTGGCACCTTCAAATTATTATATATTGAGGTCCTAATATGTTTCAGAGAAGCATGTAGACCTTTCACATACATCTCCAATCATCCCAACATTTCAATATAGATAGTATTATCCCCATCTTAGGGATGTTCAAAAATTCAAAAACATGACTCAAACAAATGTAGAATGAATACATGTCAGATGTTTTAGTCAACTCATTAATTAATGATGGAACCAGTAAGATTGTAAAGCTGGTTTAAATAAAATATTTTTTGAAATTGGCTATTTACATGCATTTTGAGAAAAGGAATGTAGAATAGGATTACTAGGTTAGATACAAAGGTAGTTAATATTCTTTAAGGCAATAAACCATAACCTTTGGGATTACCTTTTCTACCAGGCAGAAACCCACAAATTAACATGCAACTTCACAAAGTCAGGGCTCTAATCAAATAATAAAGTCACACGCAAAGAAATTCTCCAAGAGAATTAAAAAAATCCTTGTGTCAGGTTATTAAACAATGACCCAATATGACATTAAAATTATATATTTTGATTTACAAGTTTTGGTTAATTTTTCTTAACAGTGATAAGGTCTAGAAGGGTTAAAACCTTGGCAAAACTTAACACAGTCACCAAGTTTCAGAACCAGTTCTGTCCATGTCCAAAGACATTCTGAGATTTTTGCTATAATGGCACTGTCTTGTATTTTACCCATATAAATACTACAGAAGGAATGATTTTAAACAGCATTGTAAATACTGTCAAAACATCTATTTCCATCAGATATAAAAAAACACAATCCTCCCAGCTTGGTTTTTCATGGACTCGTCTATTTTCCTGTTGGATGTAGAGAGTTTGGTTTAATGGTGACAATCAGACATTTCTTTAGGGATTCTTTCACAATGTCAACATTTCTGTTATATCCTAATTAGGAAGTGACTTTATCACTTATGACTTTGATCTTTCACTAAATATACATTTACTACTTTTCTACCTCTGACAGATGCCATGTAAGCAGGTAGGTATCAAGACAAGTGCAATAATATCCTTGGATACCAACAACTCAAGATTACCGGAGAAGCAGGTGGAATGATGGGAGAGCCAGTGTCTAGAGAGAGATGGGCAGGCAGTTAGCATTTAGGGCGGGATGGAGAGACAGAAGAGAAGTTTGACTGAGCAGTGGACTGGGGGAGGGGCCAAAGCAAAGCTCTCCAGAAAAACGTGGGCAGTGAAGACAACTAGTCTTGATCTGTCCTTGAGCGGCTTACGTTACCGAGTCCAAAACCGCTCTGCTCGCCGCACGACAGGCTAATAAATCGGAGACGAGGTGTTGAGGCAAGGAACACGACTTTATTTGGAAAGCCGGCAGACGGAGAAGACGGCGGACTAAAGTCTCAAAATAACCATCTTATCGGGGTTTGGATGCCAGTTTCTTTTATAGCACAGAGGGGGAGATGAGGAAGTAAAGTAAAAAGGCGTAAGTTGTGCAAATATCACCTGGAATGGCCAGCCTCGGGGAGGGGATGTGTTAATTTCTTCTTTTTTGCAGCCATCCACGGCTGGAACAGGGTCTGGATGTTTCCCTGATCAAAGGCAGTTTGGTTTAACATTCAGACAGAGGGGCAGGGTTCCCCGAGGCAGGCCGTTATGTATAGACAGTATCCTTTTAGTGAACAAAAGCAGTGGAAAGCAAAGGTTAAAGTAAAAGAAACAGATTCAACATGTAGTCAGACCTGGCTCTTCCCTGTTACACTTGTAAACCATGCTGGAGAATGCCTGCCCCGGACTTCACTGGGGTGGGTTGTAACAGCTCTGTATGAAATGAGCTCTTTAGCTCAAAACATATTTCTAGTATTACAAGAAGCATCTTTTGCGAACAGTTTGCAAGAATTCCTTGCTGAATACACAGGCACATAGAGAGAAAGAGAACGAGAGAGAGAAAGACAGAGAGAGAGAGAGAGAAATAAAGGAAAAGAAGTGAGCAAAAATTGTATTTTATTTTCTCCTAGGAAAAGAGAACACTGCTAGAAAAAAAACTGTCTTTGGAAAACAAGCTGCTGCATCTCAAATCCAGCGCTACCTATGCTAAAAGGTTTGCAAATCTCCTAAGTAAAAGCAGTTCCTGATATCTTTCCTCTCTTCAGGTCCACTGACCAGTGGATAGAAGGCAACTATCCCCCAAGGGAAAGGAAGCCTGAAAGTGCAGGAGGAAGGGAGATTTCTTAGCATTAACAGCCCGTGTGCCTCTCCCTCCCTACCCACTGGGGAATCTGGATGGGGCAGAGGTCACTGGGGGTACAGGGAAACAGGTGTGTGTGGTGGCTCGTTAATCCTTTTGAAGAGTGAATGAGCCTGTCCCCTCCCTGTTTACCCTTGGTGCTGAAGAGGATCCTGTTAAGGTCTCCATTCCCCGGATGCTTCTGATTTTGTTAATGGATCTCCGCTACAGCCGGCCTTAAATTAGCTAGCCCGCAAGTGGAATTGTAAGATAGTTTTGTCGTGCTCCCAACTTTGTAGAGAATGAAGGAAATACTGTGAAAAGCATCCTTAGTTCTTGGGACTTACTTACAAATACTCGTAATTCACAAGCAGTCCTGGTCCTTGTGTGCTGGGGTAGGGATGGATTTATGGGTTGATGGATATCGAATGGCTTGACTACTCGGCTGCTGTTAGAAAAATTCTCTGGAATAACATAGAATAACTCATATCATATGAAATTTCCCGAACTTTTTCATTTCTTTTTCTTTCCTTTCTTTTTTTTCTTTTAATTCTAAGCCTACCACAATCATTATATATTCTGATATAACATTCAAAGTCAAATCTATTTCAAAATCTTAGTTTATCCATCTAGAGCTCTTGCTCTAGGCACTATTATGAATCTCAAAATGTACACATTCTTATTCTCATTTATTCAATAACATCTGCTCAGACATCACTTTCTCTTGGTCCTCTGGTTTTTTCCTATCTCCTTTTCCTTTCCCATTATCTCTCTTTCTCATCATTGGACCTCATAAGCCAAAGTCCAGAACTGGGCTGACCCTGGCAATTGTACCTACATATTTGAAACACACTGGGATACCACTGATATTAATTTCCTCATACACTTCCCTGTGAACACGCATATAGCCCCAGAAGGTGGATTTCTGAGTTTCATAGCACTGTACTCTCTGTAGAGAATAAAGGAAATATTATGGAAAATATCCATAAGTCTTTGGAATTACTTGTATATACTCATAATTTTAAGTAAATTTTTGGCTTACCTCTTTTTTTTTTTTTTCCCCTAAAGAGAGCTTTTCCATGCAGCAGAACTACAGCTGGTACACTGTGCCTTCCATTAAGAGTCCAGACAATGAGTTTGATTTATTCTTTAAAACATGATTTTTTAGTGATAATAGAGGTTTTGTCAGTCTTTGAGCCAAAAATGTAATGGTTTTAAAAACCAAACTGAGCTATTCTTTCAGTTCTATTATATATGAGCAGTCAGGATAAAGAATTCTCAAAAAGCTCTTGAGGAGGTTTTAGAAATATCTTGAGGGAAATGGAGCTTCTGTGTTTCCAGAAAGGTGTTTGAACATCCTGGCTTGTGCAGTTTTCATAAATTGTAGGTGTCACAAATATTTATTTTACTTGTTATTTTGAGCCGTGCGTAGAGGTATTCACTTTGCTAAGTGACAGGAAAATGAAATCAGTATGAGTCAGATTCTTTTAGTTAAAGCAACAGAGACTTGGTTAAGCTACCATAAATAGGATTTCTGTTAGGTTAAGACTGAATAGATATGGCCATAAAGAAGATGTACTCGTGGGCAGACAGGAGGACAACCCTTTAGCACCTAATGTGATTTGAAAAACCAGATTATTTTGCTGATCCCACTTAGTGATGTGTGTTTATGCAGTTTCACTCTTTTCTTGTTCTTCCTGGATGATACATTACCTTTTCCCACCATTTTTCACCAGCTGGTTTGTATTCTCTGTATTTTCCTTTCAGATTCCAGAGGAAAGAGTCTGACTGGCCTAATACTACTTCCTGTATTGGACAGATAGATCATCTTGACCAACCCCTGCATTGACATCCAACCAATAGCCTTTGGCAGGCGTCCCCTCCCATCCTTGTGGGTGGCCTCCCCTTACTCAAAGAATAGCCTAGGGCTTCTTCCCTGAGCAGGGGGCTATGGGTCATTTAATTTCCCTTAAACATAGATAGTTTGATAGGTGCCATGACTTTCTTGAATTGCAGTGAGTTTCATTCTACAATTTTGATAAAGAGATAAAAAAATTCAATATGTTTTAACTTGGCATTTCTAATATTAGAAAGCATCTCTGAGGATGATAACTTTTAAGCTTTTATAATTCAGAAGAAAAAGAGTTTCTTCTTGCATGTGGATATGTATGTACCATTATATTAAGCTAATCCTCACAATTACTTTTTTTTTAACATCTTTATTGGAGTATAATTGCTTTACAATGGTGTGTATGTATATGTATAGCTGATTCACTTTGTTATACAGCAGAAACTCACAATTACTGTTAACGAGAGTAAAAAGGTTTGGCAGAAGCATCTTTTTTAAAAACAAGGTTCACCCCATATTTCTACTACCATCGGTACTGACACATGCACAGTGCCTTTCGGTTTATAAAGTAACCTGAGGTACCTTATTTAATTTAGTCTTTCCATGGACCTTTCAGGGAGGAAACAGAGTTTCTAATTGGTTACACGACCTGTCAAGATCACTCAGCTTTCCAGAAGTTGTAGGGCTGGGAGTTTGTGCTCTAGTATTGCCGTAGCAAAGCCTGTGCTTGTTCTTCTATAGAGGAGACTTGACTTTTTTTCTCTTATTTCTGGAAACTCCAGAGACCTTTTCTCTGACTGGTTTCCTCAGTCCCCTGTGAGGCTATGAGCAGAAGGCAGTTTTCCAACTTTTCTCTCTGCCCTGTGATGTCACAGACAAACACACAGGCCCATTTTAGAGTTATCCCTTGGGGAACACATTTGGGCTTTGTAAAGACTAGTAGTGCGTTGGCTTCAACATACCTGTAGAAGCTGCTTAGGGATGGTACATTCCTTAGAGGAAGAAACAGGGTATCTTGAAGATGTGGTTGCATGTCGAAGCATACTGTTGTTACTTACATTTATCTCTGGTAGTTTTGAGGGCTGTCTTAAGCACCCCCATCCCCCGCCCATTTAGTGCTACCACTGAAAACAACAATGGGGAAGATTTTGACTGGCAATAGTAATACGTATTCCTGAGCTCTGGTTGAAATGTGAACAGAGCTATACCTACGTCTTGTTTATTCTTTCACCTTGGTCTGGCCTGGGAAAGGTAAGGACCTGGCGCCTCCTATTCTTATGGTTGTGATTCAGTTTCCCTCTCTTCCACTGGGGACTCACATTTAGTAATGGCCACCATAAAGGTCCAAAGAAACATCAAATCCTAAATAGCAGGAAACCTGAGTCCCTGTAGACTCTAGTATGATTTTTTCATGGCTTCAGAGAAGCTCCAGGATGCCACCAATCTCACTATCTCCCCTCCCAAGTGGGAATTCCATATGGGGTTATTCATATGCCCAACGCTATGAGTAGTGTGCCCAGAAGCAGCAGCATCTGGTACATGCAACATAGTTTCAGCTGCCACTTTTATTGCATTCATTTTGTCTCTCAGTATCTAGCTCTTTTTATTTCTTCTGGAATTTTCATTCCTATAAACAGCATAATGCATTAATCCCTGATAATAAGTACAATTTATAAAGACTTAAAAGGGTTATGTTCTGGGGCTCTGCAAATATGGCCATCCTCATGTTCTCATACCCTTTGCAATTATGTATTTATGTACCCTGAGTTCTAAGAAAATGTAAGATCATTTACAAAAACCACATAAAGTAACATAATCCTTTAACTGGAAATAGATTAGATGAGAAGGCCAAGGAGATACAAGAACAGGTAATATAATGAGGTTGGCCCACAAAATGGAAACACGTGCTCACAGTGGACCACTGACTCAAGTTTAAATTTTCTAGCAGCCAACCCAACGAGAAAATTATGATTAGTTTTGTGATTCACAATGTCCAAATGACTAAACCCAACCGGTTCTTTAGGAAACGTCCAGTTCTTTTTAATGTATCTATAAGGCCAGAGAGAAAAATTTCCAGGATATATTCATAAAAAGTACCATGAACGATGTCTTCAACAAAATCATTATAGTAAACACAGAAGCTGTCCCTCAGAGAATACTTTTAAAAAGGTTACCATGCCTCCAAAGAACAATTCAATCAAAGCCATTTGAACAGCGAGCAGCAGAGGGAGTGTGGCAGGACTCAATAATGCTGCTTCGGGTGTGGACGTTAACCCCAAAATAGATTTTAAAGTATCCTGACAATTGGATGGAGAGACAGTCCTCCATGATCTTGATTTCCTTTGACCAAGTCTTTCGCAGACATTGGCCAGCAGAGAGATTGAGGATGTGCTTCTCGCCTAGTACTTATTCTACCGTTATCCTGTGTTACTAAAGACAAACCATTTGTTTTCACATTTCTGCAAGTTAAAGGTAAGATTGACTTCCTCTCTTGAACACTAGGGAATCTAACATGAAGAAGGCCAGAAATGGTACTCTGTTCACTCTCCATCCGTAGTGATTTGAGAGAGCATCTTCAGTTCCCTTTCTCAAAAGGGTGGAGCCAGGGGTTTACCTTTCTTTTTGTTTGGGCTTTTTCTATGCTCCCGTTGCCATTTCTAGGCTGTGGACTTTCTCAGCTCCAAGCCTAGCATCTATAAAGCAAAAAGAAAACCCAGGGAAGTCACCATTGTGTTGTTCCCTGGATCCCAAGGTCCCGAGCTGGTGTTCCTTCTTCTTTCCACCTCTCAGAGTCTTCTTGTGTTTGTTGATGTATAATGTTCAGGTTTGGGGTTGACTTAACGGGAAGAATAGGGGAAAACACATCTTCTACATCTTTCTGGAAGCAGCAATTTTCAATTCTATTTTAATTTCAACATTGACTTTGTATTTACATTGAGGCATTGGGAAGCAGAGCATAAATCCTAGATACAGACGTTTGGCCTCCTTTCCTAGGCCTGGCCTTCATTATGTTTCTTCTTACTGTTTTGCTTTAGTACATTAAGACTGAGTGCTTCAACTGAAAGATAAATAACAGAGATTAACGGGAGCTCAAATGCAGCTTATTTAGCTATATTCTCACATTCAAAGACCTTAAATGGATGACTAGGTTTTCTGTTTATTGAACAAACCTAAGAGATTTTTTTTTTTGCAACTTCCTTAAATCACTGTTCCAGTGTATAATGCAGATATGTCTGAAACCCCTACGCTTTCCAGAGTGCTTCCAGAAATACTTTTCTTCCATCTTAAGACCTGTTTCAGATTTTTATTTATTTACGGTGAGCTTGATGGTAATATTCTCATGAAATACATGGGGAAATTTCCTGAGTTTTCTATTTTGGAGAACATATCTACCCACTCCCATCCTTCTAAAGACTTTTTTTTCCTTTCAGTCCCCGAATTCTGGGTCATCATAAGACACGATGAGACCATTTTGAATACTCACCTTTAATAATATACAGTATTTTCATATTTTATGAATTTTCAAAGCCGACCTGGCTCCGCAAAGCATCCCGAGTTCTTTCTCATTACTCCCCAGGAAAGTCCTGAGTCTGGCTCCTCTTTCCTCCTTTTCTTTTCTCTTTTTCTCCCTTCTCTCTGGAGCAATTTTGAATCTTAGCACCAGCTGTGGGCCAGATTTCCGTTTGCCTCCGTGTCACTTTGATCCTTATGTCCACAACTCATCTGTTTTTGTGAAGTGCCTTTTTGAGTCACTTTCTAATTTTTATGCTGAGTTCCTGTCCCATTGATTTGTAGATGTTCCTTATATATTCTGGATACTATGCCTTTATTAGTCATTTATGTTACCGAGATTTTGAGGCTATCCTACTCACTCTGATTTGATGACTAGAAGTTTAAAATTTTTGTCTAGTCAAACTTATCTTTTACTTTGCTGTTAATACTGTTCTAAGCTCTATTTGAACAATCTTTCTCTATTCCAAATTCATGAAGATGCTCTTCTGTATTATCTTTTGAAAGTTTTTTGGGTCTCCAGTTTTATCTACATGGAATTTATTTTTTTGATGAAGTGAGGTTAGGATTAATTTTCTTTTTCATTTTTTCCTATGAGTATCCAGTTGTCACAATATCATTTGTTGAAAAGACCATCCTTTTATAATATTCTGTAACATCACCTTTGGTATAAATTGTCTGTTGGTCTATCTCTGTTATATATATGTATATGTAAAATGAAAGTAGCATGGATATAGCATAATTTGTTTTATCAGTCTCCTATTGATGAGCATTTAGATTGTTTCCATTTTTTAATGCTATGAACAATAATGAACTACATTTCACATACATTTTGTGACATACGTTGTGTAATTGTACGGTATTTTATAATATAAATTATTTCATTCCATAGGATAAATAAATAGTAATGGCTATCATTATACATCATTTGTACTTGTGCAAACATTTCTATAGTTTTATAGAGATTAATCTTTTCTACAGTAAAACAAACTCTTTTTAAAGCTCTCTCATACAAAACTGAACAAGGGGAAAAATCAAGACTGTCTTAAATATTGCAAATTGCCTGAAAGTTACTCGGCTTTGAGTGACTTTACTGTATATTAAACATTATTGAGACAACTGTAGTGGCTTAGTGCTGTGCTACTCAAAGCACTCAAAGCCTGGCTCATGGACCAGCAAAATCACTGGAACACCTGGGGGCATGTTGGAGCTGCAGACTCGCAAGCCCTTCCCCAGCCTATTGGATTAGAATGTGCATCTTAACAAGATCCCTGACAATTTAACGAGATCCTCCAATGCATATTAAGTTTGAGAAGCAATGTTTTAGTACATGATGTAAAACAAAATGGAGACTCTTTTTAAAAAAAATGAGAACAAGTTCCGCCGTAGTGTCCCATGAATTTCTATGACCTTTGTAATATTTGCAGAGACTGTGAAAATCAGAATTGCGATTGAATTGGATGTTGGCTACTAATTGTGAAACCTTAATAAGCTAAAATAATATATTACTTTATAAAACGCTCGTTTTCAGAAAGCACATTCACTTTATCTCTTTAGGTGTACAGTATAATCTTTCAATGCTGTAAAGGTAGGGATTGTTATACCTGTTATACTGAGGCTTAGAAAGGTTATGTGACTCCAAAATTACAATGCTCCCAAGCTTAGTGGTCTTGTCTCAAGGCATTTTGCCTCAAACTCTAATAATATTGGCAAGAAGAGAAATAGTCAAAAGCCATGTAACCAATACTTAAATGGAGCTTTGGGAAAGGATGAATAATCTAAATTCAAACTTCACTCATCTTTCTTCACCATGGTTAATGTGGAATCAAAATATGAGCTGGAATTTAATTTTTCTTTCCTTGCCTTATTTACATGTAGTAGAATTAACAAAAATAGGAAGCCAAAAAAAAAGACAAAACAGGCAATTCACAACCTATACTAACCCCTGTATCCTTGGAAGTTGGCTTCTGATATATGTGTTAAGTCTCCATTCCTGGCCCCATGTTCTAACCCTACTATCCCATATGTGTGTGCTCTGATGGATGCTAGGTCTGTGGATGCTCTTAGGTGAGACGGATTAGATATATAAGTGCTTCACCTGGTTCGATGCAGCTTGACTCAACTACCTGCTGGAGGGAGGGAGTCACAGGTGGCCAGAGAGGAGCTTTTGACATGAATTGATCCTCTCATTCAAGTTCATGTCTGAGCTAATCAGAGCATGCTTCATGACTGTTTATCTTCAGTGTGTCTTGTTTGGCATAAGGGACCCTGGGCATCTTACCCACATGTTGCCCAGTAGTAGAGTCAGTGAGGAGATCCTGGTAGCACAGCTGTAAAGATAGCTGTATAATGCTTTAGCAAATCATTCTCTCTTTTTTTCCTTTGCATTTCCAGTTGCCAGGATCTTCAAAAGGAGATTTCCCTCCTCCAGGAGCAGATCTCTCATCTGCAGTTTGTGATTCACTCCCAGCATCAGAGCCTGCGCAGTGTCATCCAGGAGGTCAGATTAATCAAGTGTGTTTCTGTGGTAGCTAGTATGTTTACAGTGAGAAGACCAAACACGTGTGGCTTGCCTGGACTCTACGAGCACTGAGATTCTTCTCCCCATTGACATTTCCTTTTTATCCCCATGTGACAAGGCTCTGTTTTCAGTGTCCTCTTTTGTCTCTATGCCGACACCTGTGATGTTCTCAACGAAGGTATGTGGGAAATTGTGTTTGCTCTTTAGATGTTTTGGTGGTTTTTTTTTTTAAGTGTTCTGAGCCAGATAATGCACGCTGTTCTTTAGCAGATTTTGTAGATTAGGAGATTCAGCCCTTTCTTGAAGAAGAAATGATCTGTTTTCATAACCTCATAAGTGGTTAATTTACGTAGAGGGTGTGTTAGCACAGGGCTGTAACCTGGCCCTTCTTCGCTGGGAACATCTTGGCAGGTGAAAGAGAAGAGGTCATCGTGATGGCAGCCAGATGGATGGTGAATTGCGTATTCATACAGTTTACATCAAGATTTGTATTGATCTGGTTTGGGAATCTGCTTTAGACTTAAAACCAGAACTTCATCCATTCGCTTTTTTTAAAACTACCTAATATTTTTTTCTAAAAGGAGTCCTTCCAAATAACTCAAATGCCTTCTTGACATAAATGTAACATTCATGCTTGCTGCGGTAGGACCTCACCAAACAGCCAGAGAATTGAGTCATAGCCCTTGAGAGTCAGGGAGGACAGAGGGGGCATCCCATGTCCTCATTTTACAGATGAGAAAACTGAGGCCCACAGTAGTTAAATGATAGAGCTAGCCTTGGAATCCACGTGTTTCTTCTCTTCTGGCGCCGTCCTGGATCCCCACATCCCCCAGTTCCATGTTGCCGCTTAACAGATGCTTTTCTTCCAAAGCAAAGTGGGCTCACCTTAATATGCTGCTGGTTGACCAGATCTCTGCCGCAGGGAGCTTCCCCATGCCAGACCACGGCCTTGCGTCATGTCCCCTGGCCTCTGCCCGTGCAGGATGAAAATGTTAGGTGGCTGAGACACAGAACAAGGACCGCTGTTGCTTCCACAGGATGCACTCCTGCTGAGTTTGGTTTAAACAGGTTTTCTAAAGATTAAAGTGTTTAATTGCACTGTCTGTGTGCTCTCGTCCCCAGGTGCCAATTTGTCCTGTTATTTTCTGTAGCCTGCTGAGTCTGCTAATGCTTGGGATTTAATCTTGTTGATTTGATAAACATTACTTGACCACAGAAACCTGTACAATTTCTGACTTAAGGAACTATTCTCCGTTGCCTGACAAGATTTTTGCATTTGTGTTTCTTAAATCTTAGATGGAAGGCTTAAAAAATAATTTAAAAGAACAAGATAAAAGAATTGAAGATCTGAAAGAAAAAGTTAACATACTTGAAGCCCAGGTAAGGAGGGAACCTGTTCTATATTTCAGTATGAAGTGAGTATGTGTGTGTTCAGTATATCTGTGAGCCTGCGTACGAATGTGTCCTGTGTATTTGTGAGTGCTTGTGTGCTATGGTGTGCCAGTGTGACACTGTGCCCAAGTATGTCTGTATGTGAATGTGTGTGTCTGTGTGATTGTGTGTGACTGTGTCTATGTGTGAGGACATGCATGTGTCTCTATGTGGGTATGAATGCCTTTTTGTGAGTGTGTGTGTGCATCTTCTATGTATAAGAATTATAGCTTTGTGGGGGAGGTACTCTTAATCATTATTAAAATATTAAGTATTAAACATAATTTTATATTATTAAATTATTAATATTAAATATTACTAAAGAATTGTTGAAAGTTTATTCAAATGTTCCAGAATACTTTCTCTACTAGGGAGACCAGTGATACTATCTTTCGATGTGGACTTGAGTTAGAAGCTTGGTCAAGGCCTCTCTTGCGTGAACTCAGCTCTAGCCAGATAGCCGGGTCTGCTGTCTCCTGTCTTTGTTTCTTTCCCCTGTCCTGAGACGTGCTATTCCTCCTCTTTCTCCATCCGTATCCATCAGGGCATCCAAGCTTTGCCTCAGGGCTCACCTACTTCAAGAAGCCAATTGAAATTTTCTTATGTTTCAGTGTTTTAAAACTTATCATAAACCTTTATACTACGCTGTGATAAGATGTGCTTTACTTCTGCCCACTCACCCCCACCTTGACTGGGGAAGCCCTTTTCAGGCGTTGAGCTGCAGTCCTAGGCTGGTGGTACCCCTACCTCACAGGAAGTACAGAGAAGCCCCGTGATTATTGGAGCACCTGACGACCCCCAGGTGTCTCCAGCCCAGCTCTGCTTTGTGCTCAGTGTCACCCCTTCTGCCTCTGTTGAATACCTCATCACGGACCGCCTAGGCCTGGTCACCTTTTCTACTTCATCCCTCAGCATTGTGACTTCTCTGTGTGTCACGTTGTCCTGTCCAGAGATGCTCTGTCTTCCATGGAAACCTGCTTATCTTTTGGAGCTGTTCTCTTCCCCAGGACAGACCAGAGAGGAGCTCCATGATCGGACTCCCAGCACATGCCTCACCATTCTTTCCACCACCACATTCTTTCTGCTTTCCTCAAACAGAAGAAAAAAATCATAGTAATATAAAGAGGTTGTAAATATTTTGCAACTTAAGTTTTGGAACCATCCCCCTGTTTTGCCATTTCTACCTTCCTGGGACCACTGTTTTCTTTATTTTAGAGGGTAAGCTCATCGCATCTTGGGTTTTCCTTAGATTCTCACCTAAGTAAGATGTAAATTGGTTAGTTTACATCAGGTGATGTGATTTATGTCGCATTAGAGCCCCCTCCTCCTAAGAAATGTCTTTAAAGGCATTTCCTCCCAACTTTTCTTATGTAGTGGCCTTTTGACAAAATATTTTTTCTTATGTTTTTCTTATAATATTTTAATAACTATTTTTTATTTTTTTACATAACTAACATATGGTCATTCATCCCATACAAATTAGGAAATATGGATGAGCAAATATAACAAGAAAACCACTCAAACATACCATCCAAGGGCAATTATTCAGCACAATTGTGTATATCTCTATTTCTGTGGGAATTTTGTGCCTGTTACATACTTGTGTGTATATATTAGAGATACAGACTATATATGGCATCATTTTATTGTGTTTTTAAACTTTTATTTGTTTCAACAATTTTTTCATATCACTAGTTACATAAGTCTATAAATACTTTTTTTTTTTTTTTTTTTTTTGCGGTACGTGGGCCTCTCACTGTTGTGGCCTCTCCCGTTGCGGAGCACAGGCTCCGGACGCGCAGGCTCAGCAGCCATGGCTCATGGGCCCAGCCGCTCCGCGGCATGTGGGATCTTCCTGGACCGGGGCACGAACCCGTGTCTCCTGCATCAGCAGGCGGATTCTCAACCACTGCGCCACCAGGGAAGCCCCTACAAATACTTATTGAGTGGCTACTATGGTGTAGGCACTACGTTTGGATAAACAATGTTGAACAAAATAGACATGAGCCCTGCTGTCTGGAATTTACTAACTGATGAGGGAGATAGATACAAATAAATTAATGTGTAACTAATAATATCTTGGAAAAGTTCTGCAGGAAAAGGACAAAATACTCTGGGCAATAATACCTGGATGGAGGAATGTATATGGACCATTTAGATTGGTGGGTGGGAACAATCTCTCTAAGAAAATGAATTTCAATATGACCTTTGTGGAAAACTGGGTGGTAGGGCATGTCAGGTAGCCAGACAGGAGGCCATTGTGGGTGCTTCTAATCTAAAAGCTGTAAATACCGTAGGATGACATTGGAAAGGTAGGAAGGTGCTAGATCATAAAAAGCCTTTAGGCCATGCTAAGGGCTCTTTTTCTCTATAGAACAGTATAACAAGAAAGTCTTTGCTTACCAGGCAAATTAAATTTACATTATCTTTTTAAAGAGCCACCAAGGTTTCCACTGTATTGCTATGAAATAACTTAGTTAACTTAATCCCTGCTGTTGGATTGTTTTCCAGTACAGCTTTTGTAAACAGCAATGAATTCAACAGACTTCTACAAACGTTACCGATTATTTGTATAATTACTTCCTCCCTTAAGATACATTTTTAGAAGTTGAATTGGTAACTCGAAGACTATCCATTTTTAAGATTGTTGATCTGTGTTCTCTGAATTTCCATGTCTGCTGGATCAGACATCTCCCTCAGCTGCCTCTGCTCTTGCAGTTAACTCTTTACTCACTTTCAGTCTTTCAGTTCTGACATTTCTGATCTGCTAATAGCCCTCTTTTTTCCTCTTTATTACTAAGGGATTTCAATATTTAAAAATCCTTTGGTATCGTTCTAATGAAATCTAAGAAAGTAGAGATGAAAAACACATGTACTTAGGGCTTCCCTGGTGGTGCAGTGGTTGCGAGTCGGCCTGCCGATGCAGGGGACACGGGTTCGTGCCCCGGTCCGGGAAGATCCCACATGCCGCGGAGCGGCTGGGCCCGTGAGCCATGGCTGCTGAGCCTGCGCGTCCGGAGCCTGTGCTCCGCAACGGGAGAGGCCACAACAGTGAGAGGCCCGCGTAAAGCAAAAAAAACACAAACAAACAAACAAAAAAAACATGTGCTCAGATTCCTATTTTGAGCTGGAATTCTCATTTAGATCCAAGTTTATCTGTAATTCAAGGCAGTCCGGTGTAAGGTAGGGATCTAATTTTTTAGTTGTCTCACTTTATTGAGCAGTCTGGCCTTCCTTCATGATTTTGAAATGCTGATATATCCTAGACTAAATTTTTATGCTGGAAATCTGTTCCAATGGTGTATCTGCCTATTTGGCTCCAATGCCCTACTGCTTTAATTATCATACATCTGTAATACATTTTAATTGGAGAGATTGTTGTCTTTTTCTGATCTTTCATTATGGTCCTAGGCTCTGGTCATGTCTAATTAAGTGTTAGCCCTCATCACAGAGTCAGGGCATCAATGGTGCTACTGCTTCTAATTCAGTCTTATATTTTTAGTTGTGTCTCTATTTATATCATCCCCAAAGCTAATTTTATTGTCCTAAGTAAACTGGCAACTTAACCTGTACACTACATTATCCAATTGGCCTTTTGGTATAATAGTTAGACCAGAATAACGTATTGCTTCCATTGCACTGCTTCTATATCCCCAAATTTAGCAAATAATTGCAGACTAGCCACTCATTGTGATAGGAGGAAGCAATAGATTGTGTTCCCCTCATGGAAACTTCTTGGTTGGATGCAGTCTGCCCACATTGATGGGACAGCATCTCTCAGTACTGCCTAAGATTCTCTGTATGAAGTTGATTCAAACTACTATTTTCTAACATTCTCTTTTATTTAAAAAAGTCTTCAGATAATAGCAGTATGGTTGAATGTCTTTTATGACCTCAAAATTTATTGTCTTCAGTAGATAAATCATTTCCTTCACTGTAGGGAATGTTACAACGCCCTTTTCAGCTTTAAAGCCCGGCCAAGCCACATTAGTTTATTTATTCAGCAAATAGTTTTGTGTGTTTATGATGTACCAGGAAATGTTCTAAGTGGTAGGTACATGGTAGGAACAGGACACACTGTCCTGACTTCATCTAGCTTTATTTTAATTGAAGATACATACAGTAAATACATAAACAAGTAAGTACACAACTTAATTAGGGACGGGTAACTGCTCCGAGAAGAGTAAAACAATGTGACAGTTATAAAGTGATGGGAGTCAGGAAGAGCATCCCTGAGCCTGTGATCTTGGACCAGGTACCTGAATTTAGTAAGTGCTTGAGCTGGAGTGAACCTGTTTCTAGTCTAGCCCTAGTCGATGCTTCGTTATGAAGATCTTAAACTGGGAGGGCGTGCAGGGGTGTACTATCTTGCACACAAACTTAGGACTATCCTATTTTGAAATAACAGTGTGAGCCGATTCAGTTTGTGAAAAATTGGTCACCAGAGCTGAACAACCCTTTTAAAGACATCAACTTTCTAAACCGTACAGACAACAGTTTTCTCATCCATAATAAACAACTCATCTCTTTTAAGGCATGCTACGTACTTCATTTTGTTTAATCTTCAAGGCTACTCTGGGAGAAAGCTATTATTTATTCCCTCAGGGATTAAACTGAGATTCAGAGAAGTTAAGACACTTGTTCAAAATCACTCAGCTGCATTTGAGTCTAAATGAACAGATATAATGTTAAATTTGCAGAATCATTTGTATGTATTTTAGCCATTGTCACAGTTACTACATTAAATGTTTTTCTGTTTTCCAGTTTTTTGACTCATGGAAACTAATACTTTTTTCTGTGTATTCTTTTCTATCCTACCAAGGACTTCCCACCCTCCCCCCACCACAAGGGGATAAAATTCACTCATCTAACTCTGTCCTTTTTTTTTCTTTTCAATCTTTCAGGATTTTAAACCTCTTTTAAGTATCACCAGAAAATTTCTGCTTAACTCTGCCAAAATTATTTACTTTTCTTTCTACTTTGGCATATCTTTCATCATCTTAATTTACAGCTCTGAAATTCATCTCACATTTCACACATTTCTAACTTCTTCACTAATGACATGCTCATATGAAAATGCATCTTCAGAAATTACTCCATTTTCTAGACTTTGAAGAGTATCCTACTTTATGTAATCACCATCATCCCTAAAATTTAATTTACTTCCAAGAGCATGTTGCTAGAAGTTTAGGTATGCAAAAATTAGGTTCTTTTGGAAAACTGTGTCAGTGAACTATCCTTGGATAGAGTCATAATAATGGTGGACTTACTCTGGTCATTGATTTGTAATTTTGTAAACTAATGATGAAAACTCATGCATTTGGTTGTTCTAGTTAAAGAAAAGCATATGAAAGCCCATGAATCAAAAATAAAGACCTAGGGCTTCCCTGGTGGCGCAGTGGTTGAGAGTCCGCCTGCCGATGCAGGGGACACGGGTTCGTGCCCCGGTCCAGGAAGATCCCACATGCCGTGGAACAACTGGGCCCGTGAGCCATGGCCATTGAGCCTGCGCGTCCGGAGCCTGTGCTCCACAATGGGAGAGGCCAGAACAGTGAGAGGCCTGCGTACCACAAAAAAATAATAATAAAATAAAAAAAATAAAGACCTAAATCCTGTAGATGAAATAAATCATCACAGAAGTTGAAATATATGAAAATAAAGACAGTCTAAGCTGATAACTCTTATGCTTCTGCAATGTTTGGAAGGCAACAACTTCAGAAAGTAGGAGTTTATTTTGGAAAAACTCCAAATAGCTTCTACATACTTGTCCAGCCACAAAAATATTTTTATTCCAGTGCTTGTTGTCATCATGATATTGTGTTTCAAGTTGTGCTTCATAACTTGTAAAGTACTGTACAGAGAGGAGTTTTTCTTAGCCACGTACTTGGCCCTGATATATGCCTGCACTTGTTTGGAGTGTATATTCGATATATCTCCATTATACAAGGAACATCTATATCATCAATTTGTCAAATCTGAAGTACATTTCCTGAGTGAGACTTAAGTGCTTAACTCTTGAAATATCACAGTGAAATGATTCATGTGTGAAGATTTTTGCTCCATCTTTTAGTTATTATTCCGTGTAGATGCCGAGGGGTAAGAAGGTACAAAATTCACATCTTGTCTCTGCTTTCCTTAGTTCAGTAGTTCTTCATCTTAACTGTACATTAGTATCACCTGTGGAGTTTTGAAAACTCCTGAACCTAGATTACAACCAAATTAAATGGAAACTTTGGGGGTAGGACCCAGGCATCACTAGATTGTAAATCTCCCAGGTAATTCCAATATACAACCAACATTTAAAACTACGCTGGTCCAGTGGCTCTCCGATGTGAGCAGACATCAGACTCATCTGATGAACATCTTAAAACACATCACCTGGCCACCCCGGGTTTCTGGTCCAATGGCTTGGTTGGGAATTTGTAGTTCTAATAAGTTCCCAGGGGATGTTCTGATTGTTGATTCCAGGGCTACACTTTAAGAACTGTGTCTTCATCTTTTTTCTCTCCCTTTTTTCCACCTAACCCATTTCACCTTGTCTTCAAGGTCCAGGTTAAACGTCCTTGTGTAGGAAAATTATTCTAGTCACACTGATTTCTGTTTATACCTTTGAATTACTGGCTGCCTTATGGCATCTCTTGAATCGCATTTAATTTATTTATTTTTAATTTTTGAATGGTCACATGTTTATCACCTCCACCATACGGTGCATCCTGTGTACTAAAAGGGAAGATACCATCCTTTCTTGTGCTGTGTCACATTCCCTCTGCTCCTGGTATGGTGCTGCAGACATGGCAGGGACCGAGTAACTGGGTGTATTGCGGGGGGCTGGATGTTTGGGGTAGATTCATTGTTGATTAATTCCCTGACAGTTTGCTGTCTTCTCTTTCCTATATATCATACCTGGAATCCTTTCAGAAATCACTGAGTCTCTTTATCTCCTGGGTTCCACCAATTGCTTATTTGTAATATAAGGAGGCTGGGCGAATTCCTCTGGTCACAGAAAAATAACATCTTGCAGGGAAAAGAGCATGAGCTTTGGAGTCAGACAGGCCTGCATAAAGCCTGCACATTTGCAGACCCATGCTGCATATACTACCTGTGGGTCATTGGAAGCAAAGTTCCTCGTCAATTTGAGTTTTGCCAGCTTTATTTCTTTCACATACATAACAATGAAAGTTACTCCTCAGAGATGAGTTTATATCGAAGAAAAGAATGTCTGGAAAACACCAGGCAAAAGTCTTGACATTTGCTAGGTACTCAGAATTATTAACTCTTCTGCTTCCATCAAAATTCTGGTGCCTATTTCCCAAAACCATGCATTCTGGTGCTGGCTTACTCCAAACCAGCAGATGGAGTCTTACAAAATAACTTTTATTCAGTCCTTCGTTTCCTACACGGGAAGGGAGCTGGTGTGTTGCTGTTCTTTGAAAGCCATGGCGCCTCTCCTGCCTTCCTCCCATGGTTACCTTTCAGGCCCAGAACTTTCTGTACAGATGTATCCTTGAAGGACTTCTGGCCTGCCCATGCAGCCAACTGGCAAGTCAACCTTGGGCATGAGTCTTCACTGGAAAGTCTCACTTTCCAGATCTGTAAAAAGAAATTGTTTGGCTTGGCTGCATTGTAGAGAAAGTATTGTCTCTGAACTGGGAGGCCCTGACTTTGTGGGGGGGTTTTCTTTCACTTTTTCTTTTTATTAATTTTTATTGGAGTATAGTTGCTTTACAATGTTGTGTTAGTTTCTACTGTACAGCAAAGTCAATCAGCTATACTTATACATATATCCCCTCTTTTTTGGATTTCCTTCCCATTTATCAGAGGACCTGACTTTGAATCTTCAGTTCTGCCCTGAACAAGATGTTGGGCACTTAAACTCTTTGGACCTCAGTTTTTATATATAATATATAATAATGGGCCTTGGACTAGAAAGTCATAACCAACTGCCTTTCAGTCTTAAAATCTGTGCCAGACACCGAGCTGAGTAGTTTACGTACTTTTATTTCATTTCAGAACCTGTGAAGAAGGGACTATGATATCTGTTAATACAGATGAGGAAATCAGGCACAGAGAGGATAAGTAAACTAAATGAGGTCACACAGCTAGCAAGTGGTTGTGCTAGGATTTGTACCTGAAAACTTGAACACTTTCCCTTCCTGTTATTAGCCATTGCATTATCTCCCAGAATTCCAAGGTGCTTCCAGATTTAAAATATTATGGTCGTATGATATCTGTTTCTTCCACCTTATATGTGGTAGTCAGGACCACTACTACTAGAGATGAAGAAACTGAGGCTTCGATGAGAAAATTGAGGCTAAGGATGCCGTGAACCAAAAGAACAGATGGTGCCTATTTTCATGGAGTTTCTAATCAAGAGATTGCACAAGAAAGACAAATGTGTAATAAATATTGTGCGTGTCTTTCAAAAGGTTCTTTAATAGAGTTCTTTCATGAAGTTCTTCGCATCTGTCCATATAAAAGAAACTGTAAATTGAAACAGAGAGTTCAGCTGTTGAATTTCAGAGGCTAAGTCAGAATACTAAGTTTGAATCCCTTGGTAAATTATGCATTTTTCAAGGAGTGTTTGTATTTTCAGAAGTAATATTTGAGGACTCACAACTGGCTATGTTCTGTGTTCTAATACAGTGACTGGAACAACAGACTTACTGCTAAAGAGGGATGTAGATGGTGGGTCATTCAGAAACACTAAGCACTGGCTAGTAAATGTGCTAACACACATGTGATCTCTGCACAATTTTTGTTTTCTATTTCAGAACAAAGAACTAAAAACCAAGGTGGCACTTTGGTCTGAAATTCCTAGGCCAAAGGTATCCAAGGCCGTCTCTACAAGGTAAGGCCTCTCTTCCGCCCCCACCATCTGCCTTCACGACTCCTGTTGAACACGGTTGACATTTATACCACTTGAGAAATTATCCATTCAGTTAACACTTACATAATCACCTGTTTACGGTCTGTCTCCCGGTTCTTTGAGAGTGGGAACTCTATTAATCTTGTTAACCACTGAATCCTTGAAGCCTGATATACGAATACTTACTTTATGAGTAAATGAATGAACAAATTTAGATATCGTTTTTCCTCTTCTTTGGCATAAAACAAGCCCAGTCTTGGCTTCAACACTTAATCCAAACAGTACAGATTATCTCCTCCACCATCCTTGTTCCTCCATTGCTCATATTTTCTGTGTCACCGATGGGCATTTTCATCATAAATCATGTGTATTTATTTAGGTTTCCATGTCTGTCTCTCAAGTCGATTGTAAGTGTCAAGAGGGCAGGAATAGTTCCTTGTTTTTCCCTTTATTTCCTGCATTGTTAAAGGCAAGTGTCTTCAACAACTACCTAATAACGAATGAATGAAGCAATGATAATGACCCCTAAAGCAATGGAAATAATAGTTGAAACCATCAAATCACTTTCTAATGTTGACAGAATCAGAAGTGACAGGTTTGTTAAAAAAAAAAAAAAGACTTCTGGGCTCAAGTCTCATTTTCATAAAATTCCATGAAATTATCACTTAAAAGAAAACATAGTCTGTAATTACATGAATCATTTAGAAAGTGACTAAAAACTTCCTGTTCTAGCAACTTTTGAATTTCCAGCCTAGTCTCTCTAGGGCCGAAACCCATTTTCTGAAACTCTCTTCTGCACAGTGCCTGACGTGGAGAATCAGGTCCCCTATGATTAGCCCCAGTCTAGGGATTCAAGTAGATCTTTCTCCCTCTTCAAGACACCCTGCAACCATGCTTCACTTTGCTAATGATGTATGTAATTAGAGACTAGAGATTAAGCATTATGCATCAAGTTTTCTAAAATCTTTGGGCCCTCAGAGGCTAAGTCATTAACTTCTTGGCCAATAGCCCTGCAACGTCTAATAAAGAAAAACTAAGCCCGAGAAGTATTGAAAGAGGAAGTGAAATGCCCACATTTCAGAAGCAGTAAGAGAAGCAGACATTTCAGAGCAGGAAGAGATGAAGAGTTTAGAATAGAAAGGGAAGCATGACTTTCCAAGGAAAGGGAGGATGGTCGATTTTAGCTCCTTTACCAGATACATCCTCTTGGGGTAGTGAGGTATCATGGCCAACCTCAGCTGTTTTGACCCTGGAGGGAATGGAGCCAGAGTGGAGCAGAGGAAGGAGCAACACGTGGTCTCCATATTGTACTGACTCCAGTACTGTGTGATGAGACTCAGGCTGGTACAGAGGGGATGAGTTTGAGAGAATGACTTCTATGGCCAGTTCTTTAGCTGCAGTTCATTAATAAAGGTAGTTTTAAAGACTTTTTTTCTCCCTATGACTTAGGAAAGGTCAAATGGGAAATTTTCCTAATTGAAATAGGGAAACTGGAATGAATATGCCCTTTGTTTTATAATTTTGGTAGAAATTCCAATAGTAATGATATATCTATAATGGTAGGTCTCACGTTTGCCAAATGAAATCTGACCAATTGGCCATTTGAGAATGTAAGTGGTAGTATGGTTTGGTAAGTCTAGATTCACCAACGTAGAATGGAATTATAACTCTCGGGAGGAATTAGAATGTAAAAGTAGCCGTTAATGCAAAAAAAACAAGCATCACATATATTTAAAAATTAATCTTGGCAAATCTCTTAAATCACTCATAAAATAGCATTCTCTCAGTCAGTGCAAGAAAAAAAAAAAAAGTTTTTTTTTTCCCCAAGCATTAGAACGTATAGATGTTTCTTAAGTTGAACACCAAAGAAATGGTTTGCTGGGTATTAAGGATCAGGTTGTTAGAAAACAGCAAAACAGCAACAATAAAACACACATATATACATATATGTGTGCACACACATATTGATGTGTGCGTGTGTATATTTGTGTGTGTGTGTGTGTGTGTGTGTATACATATTTTTTAAACTAGACTCACACAGTGAGGAGAGAAGTTTAGGCTATGAGAAACCCACAGAACTAAAACGTCCTGACAGAACAGACGATTTGTGTGTCCCATCTCCGAGTCACTCTGGTGCACGTCTTCACTGAGTAGCAGGGCACACACACCCTCACTCTTCCTCACTCCTGTCCTCTTACAACCAGATGCATTTACCTAAGGTTAATGCATCCATAACATGCTTCTACTGTGCCTCATGGGGAATTAGAATCAATTAACCATCATCAATTCGGTTAAAGCAATTCGTTCAGACTTGGTAGCACAGCAGTAGTGGAGATGGTAATGAAGGTGGTACAGCAGTTATGTCAGTAAAGCTTTATGTGCTCGATTTTGATAATTGTGTGGTCTTTTCTACAGTGAATTGAAGACTGAAAGCATGACCCCATATTTGATGTTGGTTAGGCTACGGAAATGAGCCGCCTGGCTGAAGATCTGAATGAGAAAGATCACTACCTGCGTCTTACTTACTCCTTGAAACACAGTCTAAATTTACATATTAAAACTGCTCAATGACAGTATTTAATGGAATGTATTGTATTATATTTAATATATACATCAATAACTTTGCAGGAAGATGACATTTCAGAAAATCAAACCAATATGTATTCAAAGAAAGGACCTCTTTCTTCAAAACTTACTAATGGATGAAGAAACCAGATGCTTTCCCACGATGGAAGATGAATTTTGCTTTAAAGTTAAAAAAAAAAACCAACTAAATTTATTTTTTTTTGGCAGATTTTTGCTGAAGAGACTGGTTAAGGTTGTCAACTTTGACCTTTTGATAGTGGTTTTTATGTACAGTCATCCCTAGGTATCCACAGGAGATTGGTTCCAAGAGCCCCCTCGGGTACCAAAGCCCATTCGGATGTTCAGTCCCATATATAAAATGGCAGAGTGCAGCTGGCCCTCTGTATCCATGGTTTCCACATCCATGGATTCAATCAATCGTCAGTGTGGAACCTGCAGGTACAGAGGGCTGACTGTACATAAATATAAGGAAGAATATACAGGCATGCTTCCTTTTACTGTGCTTCACAGACTCTGTGTTTTTTTTTTTTTTTACAAATTGAAGGTTTGTGGCAACCTTGCATCGTCAGATGACGGTTAGCAATTTTCGGCAATAAAGTGTTTTTAAATTAAGGTATGTATATATATATTTTTAGATATAATGCTATTGCACACTTAACAGGCTACAACATAGTGTAAACATGACTTTTAGATTCACTGGGAAACCAGAAATTTCATGTGACTCGCTTTATTGTGATATTCTGTTTAGATTGGTGCTCTGGTACTGAACCTGTGATATCTGTGTGTGTGTTTGTGTGTGAATAAATGATATATTTTAAAGTTGACTTTTGGATAATAAGAAATATCTTACCATGATATAAATTCATCTCCTAACCCATGGTTAGTGGGAGAGTTATTCTCTACTGAATTAAAGGCAGAAAAAGGAGTAGATTCTTTTTAGCTAATTCCCCAAACCAAACAACCCTCCAAATTCAAGAATTCTGCCGCTTCACAACACCTTAGGAGGCTGCTGTTCTTCAGCTGGGATTAAACTTTGGTTGCTAGAGGCAACCCGCACATCAGCACAAAGAAATACACCTTGTGATTCTGCCTTTGTGACTGGTTTTCTTTTCGATCTTTGTTAATATTATCTAAGTAAAATGTTTAGAGGAAAGAATAGAACACAGTGCTGTTAGCTCATACCTCCATAAAAAGGTATTCATTATGGGTTCAAAGGAACAGTGGCTGCTGTCTGCAGCCGGGAGGAATCTGAATTCATGAACTTGGAATTATATGTCTAGTGATTTTATGAAAGCGACTTACGTTTTGATACATGCATTCGTTACAGGTGGAATTTGAAATTGCTATAAGTAAAAGAAAACTCTAACTTGTAGAAATACAAACATACTGACACTCAGGAAAGCAGAACACACTTCAGCTAAAGGCATAATGGGAGACCTTTGTCATCCTAAAAGGTGAATTACCTGTAGGTTTTTTCATCATTCTCTTTGGTGTATAACTCTAAACATTTTCTCAGGAAAGATGCTTCCTGCCTTTCAAGGTAGAATGTGAAACATCTGTATGATCTATGAAATATTTAAAGGTATTTACAAATGAGATGAAGTAATATCCTTCTAAATTCAGCAAAGTACTGTAATCTTTGCAATGTTGTGTAACTATGTATGTTTCATATTTCTTGTTTTTATTGCTTTGTAGTTTTTAAGGTGTAGTTATCTAATAACATTTAGGACACTGTCACCCTATGCCAGGAACAATTCTAAGTACTTCACCTGTATTAATTTCTTTAATCCTCCCAGCAACCCTCAGAAATAGGTCATATTATTATCCCTGTTCGCAGCTTCAGAAGCCTAAAAAGATCTGAACTCTTCAAATACAAAAGTATTGTTTTACTAACATCAGTAGATCATTTATATGTCACGTATGGATTATTTCCTATCTCCTCATCGTTTCGGCTTCATCATTTGAACTCTTTCTTTAAATAAACATTTCTGAGTGATAAAAAATCATTACAATGGAGAATGAAATTTATTAGTCTAAAACTAGTACCACACAGAAAATACAAAAACAAAAACCTCAATTGTAGTCAAAGTATTTGTACTTATAATTATATTAATCAAAGTATTGGATAAGAGGGTCTGAGGTGGGCTATGAAGTAACTACATGGAGGTGGGAAATGAAAAGAAACTCAGTTTCACTTTGATTACATATATTGTTACAAATTATCATTAAGAAATGTTTAAACAATTGGTTTAATATATACCATTTTAATAATTGCTTATGATATGCCTTAAAATAAAGAAAATTGATGCCATATTTTGTGGGTTTTGTTTTTCTTTTTACATTAAAATTATTATGCATAAATGAATTAAGTAGCTGTTATTTGACTGTTAATGACAATATAACCCATAATAAACAGTTTTTGTCAGTGAGCAGATATTCAGATAGCTCCTTGAATTTTTCTCCTAATTTTCTGTGAATCCAAATTAACAGCAAAAGTAATCTATTATGTTTTTATTCTAAATTTGAAAAACATGGTAGCATTATAAAATTAAGAACACACAAACACTTTATCGAATTCTTTCATACTGCTTCACTTTGAAAATTCTTACCTGGCCTGAAATCTTCTGATCTGAAAATAATTATAGAATCTTTATCAATGTCAGAGTAGGGATCCAATCTATCAATAACTAAAAATTCTTTAAACAAATATCATAAACGTTATGATTCCTTTCCTACATCTCTTCCTTCCTTCCTTCATATTGAAATATAACTCAACAATAAAAACAAACCACAAATATTACAACAATGGATAAATATCAAATTATTACACTTGAAAACATCCAGTAGAAAAACAGAGGATATACCATATTATTTTATGGGGACAGAGAGCAAATCAGTGTTTGGGGACAAGAGTAGAGGGAGAGAGTGTGAAGGAGTACAGGGAAACATTGGGAAGTTAATAGCATGTTCAGTGTGTTGATAATGGTCATATTTTCGTGGGTATGTTTTATGACAAAAAATCAATAAATTGTACAAGTTAAACATTTACTTCAATAAAGTAGTAAAAAAAAATTAAGTTAACACTATGTTATTCTACAATCCCCCCAGTTCGTTTCTCACACTAGATTCATTCATTTCTTCTTTCACCAAATATTTATTGGGGCTCTCTATTTGCCAGGCGTTGTTCTAGATGCCAAGGCGACAGCAGTGGGGAGAGGGAAGAGGTGCATCTGGCAGGGAAGAAAGAAAAGGGGAAAATCTCTACCTTCGTGGAAATATCTTCCAATGATGAGGAACAGATAAACTCAGGGAAGTGCTATGGACTCTGAAGAAAAGTGGAGCAGAACATAGGGAAAGGGAGGTACCGGTGGGGAAAGGCTGTGGCGGCAATTTTTATCTGACCGATAATTGAAACTAAACTGTGTATAGATTGGTCAGTTAAATAGGGTACTGATTTTAAATAAGACCTCTCTCTTTGAAGGTAATATTTAAACAGAGATAGGAAGAATGCTAGGGAAGTGATTGGAAGGAGATGCTTTTTGGTGGAAGAGGGGTCCAGGCAGAGGCAAGAACAAGTGCATGAGTCCCTAGGGGCAGGCAGGCCAGGTGTATTCCGGAATAGCCAGGAGGACATCAGCTGGACGGGCATGTAAAGAATAAGCCCCAGGGGGGCTTCCCTGCTGGTGCAATGGTTGAGAGTCCGCCTGCCGATGCAGGGGACACGGGTTCGTGCCCCGGTCCGGGAAGATCCCACATGCCGTGGAGCGGCTGGGCCCGTGAGCCATGGCCACTGAGCCTGTGTGTCCGGAGCCTGTGCTCCGCGATGGGAGAGGCCACAACAGTGAGAGGCCCGCGTACCGCAAAAAAAAAAAAAAAAAAAAAAAAAAAAGAAATGAAATTTTCCTTGGTGTAGAGAACTGTGATCATACAAATACCTTACATCCAGTTTTAAAAAGAGAAATCCTACCATTACAAGATGGCCTTATTTTTTCCTCAATAGGGGGCATGTTATGACTATTTTTACACCCTATAAACCATTAGGAAAAGCAAGTCTCTACTGACTTGTCTTGAATTATTTAAGATGAATCCAGGAGGCAAAAGATTCTGCCTGTGTGAAACAGCATTACTGCTACCATAGAGTAAAGTTGAGAGAATGGTGCCAAGGATTTATTTGCTTGCAGTGGGAGAGTTGTTTATCTTTAAATTAAAAACTCATCATTATCTTGGCAAAGCCTATCTAAGTAACATATGGAGGGAGAACAACTCTGGGAACAAGGCAGCCTTTGCAAATGAACATTTAAGAGGAAGCTGTATGGTTGTGGTCTTGAATTGGCCTTGAACATTGGTCCTGTCACCAGTCTGTAACTAAAGGAGATATTACCACCCACCTCAGCATTTTATTATGGTGAAGAAATAGGTTATAATACATTGAGGTGTTGACATACCATGGAATACTGTAAATACTGTAACATGCTAACTGCTAACTTTATAAATGTATCATTTAAAATTATTAGAAAAGATCCCTTGAAAATTCCAGCCTTTAAACAAATAATAAATTAGAAAGTTTAGAGAGATGGATAAAAGCCACTTGGCCATTTTTTTCTTAAATTCCATATATATGTGTTAGCATACGGTATTTGTCTTTCTCTTTCTGACTTACTTCACTCTGTATGACAGACTCTGAAGAACCTAGGGGTAAGACAGGAATAAATACACAGACCTACTAGAGAAAGGACTTGAGGATATGGGGAGGGGGAAGGGTAAGCTGTGACAAAGCGAGAGAGAGGCATGGACATTTATATACTACCAAACGTAAGGTAGATAGCTAGTGGGAAGCAGCCGCATAGCACAGGGAGATAAGCTTGGTGCTTTGTGACCGCCTGGAGGGGTGGGATAGGGAGGGTGGGAGGGAGGGAGACGCAAGAGGGAAGAGATATGGGAACATATGTATATGTATAACTGATTCACTTTGTTATAAAGCAGAAACTAACACACCATTGTAAGGCAATTATACTCCAATAAAGATGTTAAAAAAAAAAAAACCACTTGGCCAAATCCAAATCACTTCTTTCCTAGTTCTTAATGGATATCACTTTTAATGGAATACAATTCCCATACTGATACTGATTTAATGTTCCCCATTCACCATTCATTCAACTTCAGCACAGAAATAAGATTGCTTTGAATATACAAAATAATTGATAAAAATGCATTTTTATTTGAAAAGTGTGCAGAAACAATCACTGAATACAGTTCTCAACCATAGTTTTGAAACCCACACACCACAAAATCATTGGATGCTCTGATTTCTGAAGCTACTAGAACTTTGGTACAACAAAATCCTGACCTAACAGTGTCTGTCAGGCACCACAGTCTATTCAGGGTCACAGAGAATAAAAACTCCATGTTTAAGGTTTTAATTTACATTCATGGCACTAGACAAAACAGAGATCTGAGTAAATGACAGACAAAACAATCGAACGTGCTTAGCCTAAAACTGAGGATAATATCACTTAAAAGTAGACCATTGGGGTACAGTGCAGCACTTCAGTATTATGCCAGAACGTTGTCTACTTTTAACACATTAAGTGGGATAACTTATTTTCCTCAAATAATTTCAGATACAGTCAGTATCTTTTATAAGGCTGTGGACACAGAAGCCCTATTTATACAAGGAGGATTTTGGCCAGATTGTGATATACTATCTAGAATGTAATTGGATTCCTTGAGAGAAATACAAGATGACCTACAAAATGAAATAGAACTCATATTTTTTCAATAACTTGAGACATATTAAACATTTTCAATCAAATACAATGACAGTAAGCCGACTACCCATTTCAGGTTTCCAATATCTCTACTAAAATTAGTGTTTTGTCCCTGCTATAACACTTGTGAAAGTACGGTTGTGAAAGTATGGCTGTGATATTTTATTATTCTTAGCTTGGGATAATAGTGTCAGTTTATGAAATGGAACATAATTTACAAACCAGTTTCTATATATGTTCTCCTTTGGGCCAGACATGAACCCTGTGAGGCATGTAGGATTTATAAGCCTCCTACTCGGAGAAGCCATATTTAATGACATACCCATGGCCCCCAAATTGTTCTTTTTGGCCACTTTCCTTTCTATAATACTAGGCTTCCTCTCAAAGAACATTTGAAAAAAATAACCTGGAGAAGAGTAAGGATAAGCATATGTTATTACTTTGCTAGGGACAGATACTATTTTGATGTGCCAGCAGACATAAGGACAACAGCCATTGGTTAAATAAGGGATCCATTAGGTTAAGAACAGACATGCGGCTCCTACAGAACTTGCTAATGACTAAGTCGACTGAGGGATAATAGCCATGACTCCCACGACCAGTTGGAAAGAACATGAACTCGGAAACAGATTTAAATAACTCAATTCAAAGACAATTACTTTGTACTCTTTTTCTTCAAAAGAGAACACCTTTTTAAATAACCCCATTATTCTGGTACTCATGGTTTTTTATGTTTGCTTGTTATTCTCTCTAAATGTGAATTTAGAAAATATCTCAATCATAGGCTGTTGGCAAAAAGAGCTCTGCAGAAAGGCATCTTTGTGATGCTACTTCTTAAAAAATTAAAGTGCAATTTATGAGAAAATTTGATTCAGATAGAGTAAATGTTTCTAATTTTCCCAAATTTTGATGCCAATCATGAAATATTTAGTGTTTCAATATTTTTATTAGCTTAGTTCTAAGGGCATAAACCTCTAGTTGGTAGATAAAAATAATGGCTAAATATTTGCCATAGATCTGGTTACAAACAACTTTGTCAGTCTTTTTTTTTTTCCTGCCTCTGCCTAAAAATCAACCTTGTAAGTATGGTCTTCTCCATGTTCTGCCATAGTTAGAAACTCTATTTAGACAACTTTAATCTCTAATCTCTATAGTTCTTGCTCAACAATGTCAATGTGGTTGAGTCTCTACCCAAGAACTCCAAGGCAATAAGTTTATAAAATTCCCTATTCAGCTAACAATGTTTTATTTTTATCAGTTCTACTTTATGAGACAAGTATCTCCATAGATTTATAAAGCATTGAGACAACACTCATCTCAGAGAATACTCTCTATCTACTTTCCATATTTAAGAGCTCAGCACTCTCCCCAGAAATAAACTTATACCACTTTGGTCAAAGATCAAGAAGAAAATACAGCTTTTGGTGAATTCTTAGACAAGCTTTTCAAACATAGACAGTATCTTGGAATCTTTAAAAATGATAAAGCTTTCCCTAAAATATTCAAATACACTAAACTTCTTTTAATGCTTTCAAGCTTGGGA